AAGAGAAGGAGCAGAGAAGAGCGAGATTGAACTCTGAAGTCATCGCGGAACAACGCCAGGAAACATTACAGCCCAATAAAATCGATTAACCGAGGATGGCGCTTGTTGACTCGATTCAGACTCAGATGTAAGCAGACACAATGTTCTTTGTGTTTTATTTCGTTGGCTCTAAACAAAATACAATATCGCTCCACATTGCAGGTTTCTGGATGTGAAACACTGCTGGCGTAGAAAGACACATTAAGATTTACAACCATAATGGCACAATGGTGCAGCTGTGGATGGACGCACACACACATAAGGGTACTTCACTCTGCATCACAGCGCTGTGTATTTGCTCTTGTCTGTCAGACGCGTCCCGGCTTGCAGGTCATAAATGCGGGTTGTTTAACAGTATCACTCCCCCCCCCCACCTCCTCCTTAATCTGTCTGCCTTGACTACACAGCGCGCACACTCACTGGGGACCGCATCCTGTTTGCTGGTTGGACTGGGAGGTGTGAATATTCAACCAGTGAGCTATGATGGCCTGGCAGATGTGCCTGTCTCCCTCCCTCACACACACTCACACACGCACACACACACACACACACACACACCACCTGTTCCTCATCACATGGAAGCTTACTGCACTAACAAGCATGACATGTTTCGCTCTTTGCTTTTACAATGAGACTTAAATAAGCGTGTGATTTGTTTAAAATTTTAAAAAAAGAATGAAAACACCACGCATCTTTAAATCCTGGCTCCCATATGGCTCCCTAGAATACATTTGTGTTTATGTGACCTCCCGTTCCTCTCCTATTAATTCGCTGGAATTGCATCTCAAAGACCCGATTATCTCTGACTCATGTTTGGAGAAGCTCGTGTCCGGTTGCATTCCTAATTTATGTGCGCATGTTTCTGTCATAGGCAGACATCTCAGGAGGGAACTCATTCTGCTCTCTTTCAGATCAAGAGAACTAAAGTGCATCCAGGAACCTGTGAGGATGTCCGCTCAGTGACAGAGCAACAAAACAAGCAGCGCGCGGCGCTTCTGCCGCCACTGTTATGCTGATGCTGATGATGATGGTAATAACAGGCCCAGTTGTAAAGCTAATGTTGTGCTGCAACGGGGGAAGAAGGGGGTCGAGTGGGCCTCTCCTCCACCCAGTGTATGCAAATGGCAGAAGTCTTGCAGAGTCGACGTTTATTCATACAAACGGAATCAATTTGCAGACGCTTGTCGGAAAACAGGACCTGGTTTTTCTCTCTTCTCACTATTTTTTTGAGTGTGGCAATAATTACTGCAGGCAATTAGCGGGCAGGAGTTATTTCCCAAATGCACTGGCTCTGGTTGCTGTGGGGTGTTTTGGGGTGTTTGGTTTATTTTGACACCTCGGGGAGAGGGGCTGATTACAGGGTGAAGTCTCCCGTCATTCAACCGCCAATAAATAGCGAAATTTACGGAGAAAATGTGCACCGAGGAGATGCTGGGACTTCAATCTGATAAATATCGTTTTGAGCACGATTTGCTTCCCGATGAGGCCTTTCATGCTGTAGGGCGTCTTGTCTGTTTGGTTTGGAAAGTGAAGAAGTATTCAGTGTAAAATATACAGTAATAAAAACAGTACACAACGTGTATTAATAAAATGGCCCCATATGAGTGTTAAGATCGCCCGATACAGTGAAATATCAGAATCTTTTATTGTGATCCTTTCCTGGAGTAGAAGTAGCAATACCAACATTTAAATGCTTACAAATAAAAGTCTTTTTTTAAGAATCCCACTTAAGTAAAAGTACACAAGTATTATCAGCAAAATGTATTTAAAGTATTGAAAGAAGTCCTCATTATTAAGCAGAATCTGTGCTATTTTATAGTAGCTTATATTATCGTATTGTCATTACAGATGCATTCAAGTGTCAGCTGTGTTTTACTGTCATTGTTGGCCAATGGGGGTGATTTTAACTGGACAATGCATTGTATTATACTTTTCTTACGTTTTGTAATCTTTAACAAATATATATACTATAGAGTATAAAGAACAATATTCCTCCTTGAAATGTATAAAGGCGAAGTATTGAGTGACAAAAATGTCAGTCAAGAGAAGTACAAGTGCCTCAAAACTGGATATAAGTACAGTACTCGAGTAGTTTCATTACACCATTGGTATGCACTAAAAACACAATATTTCCCTTTGAAATGTAGTGGAGTAGAAGTATAAAGGCAAGGATACACTTTGATCAGCAACACAGCAATTCAAAGTGCTTTACATAACACATCCAAAGGCAGTAAGACGAGACATAAAAGAAACAATAGACACATAAAAGAGTCAAATAAAAGAGGTGAAATAAGCTTAAAATAAATAAGACATTAAACATAATAATAAAAACATACAGTTCAGTGCAAGATGTGAATAATATATTGAAGAAGCATAAAATGGAAATACTCAAGACCTCAATGTACTTTGAGTAAATGTACTTGGTTACAATCTACCACTGCCAAACAGTTAATGTTCAGAAAGAGAGTTCATACAGTAGATGCTGCCAAACACTCACACATGGCACAACGTGTTTCAAGTCTTATCCATCCTTCCTGGAAAACTCCCCCCCCCCCCCCCCTCTCTCTCTCTCTCATTCTCTCTCTTTCTCCTCTCGGCTCTTTGAAATCTGCATCACGTCCCTCTCATTTCTGTTTACAAGAGTCAAATTGCTTCCACACACTTTATTTCTAAAAGCAGATAGATCTGCAGAGAGAGCCGCGCCAAAAAAGCGGTCACGGCACATGCAATTTCTTTTTTTTTTACTCCCCCGGTAAATACCCTAACCGTTAAACATCAACACACAGTCATGCTGATGAGTGGTCTGAGAGGCGACAGTCTGACAAGCTTCTCTTTTGACTCACCGGTTATTACCGAGTCTGACCCCGCTGCTGAACTGATTTCGTGCTTGCATGAAATGAATGATGCTCAATGGAAAATTGGCACAACTCCACTGCTACTAGTCCACACAAACGCCCCCGTGGACCCACGATACTGACTGATGCTTGGTATAATTGCGAGCATTTTTTTTTCGTCTTAAAATGAGATTTACAGTCTGACTAAATACTTGGAATTGTTCAATAGTGACGCCATTAAGTATACAGGCTCAATGTGAACATCGACTGCCAAACTGAATCTGGCTCACATGAAAAACCAGAGATGTGTGAAGCCATGGATGGATTACTGAACGGGCCGACTGGGGACAGGCCCAGGGGGGGCCCAAAGAGACGGGGGAAACTGACGTACCATCCAGGAACAGACTCAAAACAACCAAGAAAAAAGAGGAAAAGGCTACAAAGAGACACAAAGAGATTCAAAACAGCTGCAAAGAGACAGAACATGACAACAAAGAGATACAAAGAAACTACAAAGAGACACAAAATGACTACATAGAAACACAAAGAGACTACAAAGAGACACAAAGCAACTACGAAGAGACTCAAAATGACTACAAAGCGATACAAAACAACCACAAAGAGACACAAAGAGACTACAAAGAGACAAAGCAACTACCAAGAGACACAAAATGACTGCAAAGTGACAAAGCAACTTCGAAGAGACACAAAATGACTACAAAGTGACAAAGCAACTTCGAAGAGACACAAAACAACTACGAAAAGACACAAAATGACTACAAAGAGACAAAGCAACTACCAAGAGACACAAAATGACTACAAAGTGACAAAGCAACTTTGAAGAGACACAAAATGACTACAAAGAGACAAAGCAACTACGAAAAGACTCAAAATTACTACAAAGAGACACAAAACAACCACAAAGACAAGACTAAACTACCACAAATAGACAAAAAATGACTACAAGGAGATAAAAATTGACAAGAAAAGTGACAAAATACATGGAGAGATGCTTAACGACTACAAAGAGACACAAGACAACAGCAAAAAGATGCTAAAAATCTATAAAAGTCTGTGTCTTACTCCTATGTAGATGGTGGTGCCTTTTTACATGTCTGTGCCCAGGAGTCGACACCACTCAGGTCGAAAAAATATGCATTTTATTCAACATCTAACCAATAAAAGGACTTGCCTGAAAGTGCCTCTTTCATTGTTTTATGCGCCAAGACTACCAACATGCCTCTGTTACTATACAGTGATGTGCAATCACCACTTCTAACGGAAGTTAGAAGCTCAGCAAACACAAATTCAAAGACGTCGTGTCCTGAGCCAGTTGATCTATTCAGAGCTTCTGGATGAAAAGCTGTCGGGAATCCCTCTCTCTCTCTCTCAGCTCGGTCGTCACCTGCTGTCTTTAATTCATGCATGCTGTTTTCTCTTTCTCCCTCTCTGTTCTCCTGCTCTCTGTCGCACCCTTTTGAAGTCTCTCGGGAGTCCTGTGGTTTTCAAAAGGGTCAGAGAAGGGCAGCCCCAGACTGTCCTATCGAAGGCAGGCCGCGGGACAAACCAACGTTACCACCTGTCCTCGCCACGCTGTGTCAACACCGCTGGTGTCACTGTACTCACACCTCCTTCATCTCACCCCCCGCCGCTCGTACACTGTTCCCTCCCGCACACACACACACACACACACACACACACACACACACACACACACTGAGCAAACGACACACACTCCTTGTCTTGCTTGTGCACACATACACACATGCAGGAACGTGCGCACCACTACTGTAGGACCCCCCTGCTGTCTGACAACCGTCACACAGAGACGAATCAAGGAGTCCCACTGCTCAAAAGCCTACCCTTTTCCTTACACTTCACATTACAGAGGACTCTTTCGTGGCCCGATCCCCATACCAGTGGGGGTTGTTTGGTTGAGAGAGAGAGAGAGAGAGAGGGCTGCGTCCTGGGGAGAGAGTCGATTGCAGGTCCGGGGGTCACGCTGAGACTGGTGAAGAGGCAGCCAAAAGTCCTTCAAGATGAAAAATTAGCCTTTTAAATGACAGCCAAAGATCAAAACCCCTTTGGAGGAGCAGTGTGTTTCTGGTGCTCCCATTGAAGAGTTTCTTATTCAGCTGCGGTTTCCTGTCCTGCTTGCCCAGAGGGAAACATCCCAAGAGTGCCCGGATCTGGAAGGGAAGCCAAGGTAGAGCAGGACGATCCGAAACTGGACACCAGGCCCGAGTCTGAGTCCGACACAGCCAGCTCCTCAAACTTCTGTATCACTTTCCTCACCGACTGGAAGGCAATCTCCCTGCGCCACCGGCCCCCGCTGGCAAAGCAAGGTCCCCTGTAGGCCGAGTCCTTACTGAGGAACACGTGAGGAGGAGGTGGGAGGCCGCAGCGCAGCCTCAGTCGACCCTGGCCCAGGCCCAGAGCCGGGAGGACTCCGACCGGGTTAAAGCGAGTAGGCAAGGTGGCTAGGTGCTCCCGGGTCAGAGCGTTGTGGAAGCTCAGGGCCCCCCCTCCGATGTTCAGGAAGACCCCGAGGGTTTTGACCTGAGGCGGGACAGAGCACAGCGGCTCATGGCTCCCATCATACACGGCACAAAAAGACGGGCCTTGTCTTTCAAGCCACCAGCCGCCAGAACCATCCAGTGAGCTGACACCTGAGAGACAGAAAAATTAAGTTTCATATTCACTGTGCATTTATTTATGTATTTAAAGTATTGTGTTGTATTATGCTGTACAGTGTTGTACTAGAGTGTTTTTTTCTGTTGAACTGTACAGATAATATTCAATCTAAATTGTAATAACCCAGACAAACAGACGAAAGTTAGCTCTCTAGCTAACTCTGGCACATTTACATTGAGGTGGGAACTGAAATGTTGATCAATGTGCACTGTCCCTGTAAATAAATAAATGTATTGATTAGCCGCCTTTACTAAGAATTTAAACCCATAATCTCTCGACTCCATAGAAATCTTGGAACATGATACATTCTGACTCATTATTTTACTCTATTCTAAGAAGCCAAAAATGAAAAGCATTCGTCTTAGCCATGCTAGTGACTCCAATGAATATTGGAGGGTTTTGATGGTAGCAAAATAAGGCGGGAAATTAGGAAGCGTCTGATGCAGTTGAGGACTAGGATTACAATGTTGCACCACAGGACAATTCACATACATTTCACAAGCAGAATAGGAGCATGAATATTACAATCTAAATACTCTAGATCAGGGGTCTTCAACGTTTTCAGGCCAAGGACCCCCAAACTGATAGCGAGATGGAGCAGGGACCCCCTACTATATATATTGTATAAAATTGTGTTTTATATTAAATGGGCCTAGTACCATGTACAAACATACCTCTTTATTGTGCATTCAATACTAAGTCATTCAAATAATACACAGGTTCATATATTCATGTTGTTATTTTAAACATGTGCAAAGTACAGTGAGTTTATACTGCCATTTATAAACATACCTTGTCAGCTGATACCAATGCCAATATCAACATTGTCAATTGCATGATAATCATGCATACAAGCTATTCAAACTGAAGTTTTCATTTTAAACATAAATGTGGAAACCAAAATGAGTGATGGCCTATTAGTGCCACTGCCATGCATAAAGATACCTGTTATCTTTCATACAACACTGAACTATTAAAATAATGTACAGATTCATGTTTAGAGAATTTCTTTTTTTTATTTTTTTTTATTGTCTAATTAACCAAACATTTCGCGGACCCCCTGCAGTACCTCCTGTTGAAGACCTCTGCTCTAGAGAGAACCCCAAAACAGTGACTGTGATTTATTATGACTTTGCTAGAATACAACTTTGAGTTTGACAATACTGACAATAACAAATAGCAAAAAATCGAGTTTTTTGCTATTTGTTATTGTCAGTACCATGTTCAAAAAAGTTTACAAGCATTATTCCTTTAGTTGGTCGCTCATAAGTAGCTTGTCTTTTAAGACCCAAGACACATTATGGCAAAGGGTTAAGATATCATGGACACGCGCAATATCAATATTTTTCAATGTTTTCAGAAATGTTTTGAAATATGATCTTTTCTGTGGTTACTGTTTCTTTTTAAATGCTAATGTGGCAATTCTTCATATTCCAAACAAATGAAAACATGTTACACGCCACACTAGATATGAAGTTAAACACAAGCTCACTTTTCCAATGTTGCTCAACCAATGAACAATGTTCAAAACCACTTGGTGGCACTATGAGCTGTGAAGCTGTGTACGATGACGTGTGTGTGTGTGTGTGCGTGTGTGTGTGTGTGTGTGTGTGTGTGTGTGTGTGTGTATACATGTGAGTGTGGGTTGAAACGAGCACAGTCTTGCTGACTAACAGTGAGGGTTTCTGGAAGCAATAAGCACACTGGCAGCCAACCAACCCAAACAAAAACAGAGAGCTCTGACCGATCCTGTAGACGGAGCTGTTGCAGACGTCCACCTCCCAGTAATACTGTCCCCGTGCAATGACAACATCAGCGCAGACCTGGGGGAGGGCCGGCGTAGCCCAGGGGTCAGAGGCAGTTGATCGCCTGGCCTTGTCGTCTGGATGAGGGCTCTCTCCTTGGTGGGTGACGGTGAGGGAGGAGTTGGAAAGATGGAGGGATGGAGGGATAGTTGAAGGGTCCAGAGCAAAACATAGTCCTAAAATAAAATAGATTATAGGTTTTAATCTATACAATCAAAATGTCATACACACTAAAGTACACAAGGTGTATTTCATTTGGGGATTCAAAGTCATCAAGTATGATTCCTGACCGAAGACAGACTGCTCCATCTCCTCCTCTCGCAAGTCTACGACGCCATCCACTGGTGCTGCTGAGGAACTGGCAGTATTGGAGCCTGGGTCAAACAAGGAGAGTGTACACAATTAGGTTTTCATGTTTACAGATCATGTAGATCAAGGTTTATTGTAAGAAACTGGTTGGGGCCGATGAACACATCGCTATACTCACCATGTAAACAGGTCTGTGCCGTCACGTCACCTGAATCCCGGCAGTATGAGTTCCCCTAAAATACAGTGAAGTTTGGAATTCAAAATAGAAGACATAGGAAGTGAATCCGAACCAGGGACACATGTTGCATAGAATGAAAATGTATTTCATAAAACTAGCACAATAATACTCGCTTACAGTGCAGTATAAGTAGCATCAAACACATGGAAATGATAAGAATTTGTCAGGAAAACTAGCTTTTATCCAACAAGAAATAAGGTTAGATCCCACTAGCGATGATGATCACTTTTAAAAAAATAATCTGACTTTTTGGGGAATCTGTCTGTCTGTCTATGAAGTATGCAGCTACACAGCCGGGAGGCATTTAGCTTAGCTTAGCACAAAGACAGGGGGGGGGGGCGAACAGCTAGCTTGGCTCTGTCCAAAGGTAACAAATCCACCAGCACGTCTAGAGCTAATTAATGTGCTAATTCATTAATTAATGTGTTGTATCAACATATTTCCAGACTTTGTGCTATGCTAAGTTAAGCTAATCAAACTGGCCGTTGCCCGTAGCTTTACATCAGTTGGACGAATATGAGAGTGGAACTGTATCAATATAATCATCTTACTTTTAGGAGAGCAAATACGACCTATTGTTTTACGGTTAAAACTTACATGCAAATTAATAGTTTGCCAACCAATTTCCAGTATTTTTAGACTTTAGAACATTTCAATTTGACAGTTTTAAGATCAATAAAAGTAATTAAGAAAATAAATAATCAAGTTAGATATTCCTTCCTCACAAAAGTCAATGAATATAATCTGAAAAAGCAACTCCAATAAGTAAAAACATTTCCTATAACACACTATAATATAGTTGTGGAGATTTATAAGTGTTATACAGAATTTGTCAATAAGCATAACTTCTACTTTGAAGGCATATTTCTTATTATTACAACTCTATCTTACTACATTGTCAATGTTATCTCTTAAAACAGCAGCCTCCACAAGCTGTTATTGACAATTGTGAGTATATTTTATATATTTGGAGGGAGGCCTAAAGGGACGGGCTGTCAGTGTTGCCGACTTGGCAACTTTCTCACTAGATTTAGCAACATTTGGATCTAGCGCTGCTAGCTACGTTCATTGGAAAACACTGGAAACACCGGGCTGGGTTTTTCAGTGCAACCTTTAATTATTATTTATTTATTTTTGTTAAATATTTTCACTCTGGTTCTATTCTATTGTATATTTTGCGTGGCACTAGTAGCAAGTACATTTTCATATACTTTTTCATATACTGAAAGATGGCACAGCCCACATGGGCCAGTATACAGTTTAGCATACTGATACTTGAATTACATATATTTTATTATCCTGAAATGTCCATCCCTTATATTTCTTGCATATATTGATTCTAATTCATACTATTTTCTTTTTTGCACAAAAGCTTCTTTGCAAGGTGTCAACAATACGGCACCCTGCATGTCACTTCACACATTGTACCAGCATGTAACGGACAAAACATCTAAATCTTGCATCTTTACAGACATGCTCTTCTTACTTTGGGTCTCTTTACCTGCACATGTTGAGGGTGATCTTCAGATGCTCCCTCCTTCCTGTCTGTGTCCCCGCTGAAGGTGGCATGCTTTGGGAGACAGGAAGTAGCAGAAGACCAGGTCCAGCATGGCAGCTCCACAGGATGTCGACAGCGTGGGCACGGCACAGAGCAGACCGTCGGGTCGACGCCGCGGCAACGAGACTGACCTGATCTCGTTCCCTCTGCAGCTGCTATACAGTGAGCACACATGGTGTGAGAGCACGGCAGGAACAGGACGGTGTCGTACCCCTGGTTGCAGGCAGGACAGAGAGAGAGCTGCTGCAAACAGTCTTCTTCCTCATCAGTCTTCACTGCTTCCACACCCAGAAGCTTCTGCTCTCCGGGTCCTCCCCGGGGATAAAACAGCCTCACCGACATTACTGACAATTAAATACATTCTTTAAATACCTCTGCTTTTTTGACTTGTTTGACAAAGTCAGCAAAGTCATGCTCTTGTCCACATGTTGCCTTAGACATCCAGTTTTGCTTCACAATTAGGACAAAGCCAAAAATAAAATCCACATTTCTGTTTATTCCCAATATGCAGATGATACCTGACTGTGTATATCCAGCTATCATCCTCAGGCCTCAGTCAGTATCGAAGCAGCATCCATTCACCCAGAAGAGAAACACAAGAGCGACATCTTATTGTCCAGATGTCCTTTTTGCTAGAAAATCTCAAAGATGTTGCAGTGAGTACAGATGTCCCACTGTGGCAATACAAAAAAAAGTTCACTTTTCTCTAACAGCCTGCAGAACGCTGTTGAACAGATATGAAGAAATCCTCCTGTTGTGCAATCCTCTCTGTCTCTCGGCTGACTATCGTGGGGGGAAATAGGTGGAATGGCCTGAGAGCAGATAAAAGACAGAGAGTGGTAGAGCGAGAGGGAGAGAGAGAGAGAGAGAGAGAGAGAGAGAGAGAGAGAGAGAGAGCAGCCCAGCCTTTTAAAAGGTACTCATTGCTTGGTGTTGCCATGGTAGTGGCTCTTCCCGTAGAGACGCACAAAGGCAAGATAATGCGCCGCACTGAACCCTTGTGCACATACAGATCTGAGTGTTAACAAAGAGCTCATTACTACCATGAGCCATAGACAAAACCTCTGTGCCACACATTTTCTCCCCCTGGTCTGGACGCTCTGCTCTCCCATTCGGCTGTGCCTCCCTCATGGAGGAGCATCAGTGGTCTACCCTCAGGATTACATGATGGGAATAGGAAATATATTCATCACCGCTCTTTAAATCACGGCTGGTGAGAAGCAGACGGCTCATTGTCCCCTTTCCACTTGTATACAATGTAGGGGGCCGGATCTGAGGTCAGCGTAGGGAGGGCTTTCAAATACTGTGGAGGGTAACCAAACGTAGCACTTCATTGGTGGTTCATGTGTGGTTCTTCACGATTTCCCTCCTAACTGGATTAACCCAATTCGTATGCTGCTCGATTGGTACAGGTTCAGTCAGGAGAAAGCCACGAGTTATGACAGAAGTTTGAGAGGGAATGACATTAAACAAGACACGGGAAGTCACATATGAGTTCCTCATCATATCCTCATACAACGGTTCGTATGATATCCTATGAAAAGTTACTCCTAATTTTTCGTATTTTTTCTATGAAAGTCCAGCAACACATGTCAATTTATGCTCGTTACATGCATACGGTCTTTTCAAAATACATTACCGTCTTCACAGGAAACTTAGTTAGGTTTAGGTAACAAAACTACTTAGTTAGGTTTAGGCAACAAAGTAA